AGTAGTACCGTAGACTTTCTTGACTCCATTTAAATGTAACGCCGCGTAATTTCAGCTTTTTGATATGAATTTTATGTAGAAAAACATCGAGTGATTAACGAGAATTTAGAATCGATTGCAAAACTAGGTGGCACAAAACGACGCCTAGAACCAATATTGAATTAGGGAAATAGTCAGTATTTGAATAAATTTGCATATCATGACAAGAATAACTTGTCGTAAGCGTGAAAACAACTCAGACATTCGACAAAGAATTGCCCATTGAGTGTTAAACTACAATACGATCAATTTTGTATCATCCAATAGCAAACTCAATTGTAAAGCATAGAGAAAGTATACAGTTTAGAACTGACAGTGATCAAACAACTATGGTTTACTTTGATTGATTACAACTTCGTACTAGAGTGAAAACGACGCGCTGGAAATGCTCCCATTACGAGATCCTGCCAGTTCTACGACTTGTTGATGCCCGATCTCATTGGCAAATGAAACAGAGAATAGTCAGAGTACAGAGGAGAAAAGGTACTATTCAGTTACGAGGGGAAAAACGAAAAACCGATATCATTTGCTGGAAGAAATTTTTCACAAAAGTGTCAGTAACTATTCAAAAACCGCGACTTCAGGCTGCAGTCCCACGTCGCCGGTTATCCAAAAAGCCTTTTTTTGACATTGCGACAGTTTCTAGCGTTGCAGACGCGTATATTTCTCGCCAGACAGAGCTCTTTCTTTGGACTACTAATAATCAATCTATAGCGTAACTGCTTCTCATTCAACGCTGTGCTTATATCCTGAAAGGGCCGTTTCTCTGCAACGCAACCGGTAAAATAAGTTGAATACGCATGTATAAGCACTGGGGTCTTTGGCCAGCACACGTGTCTTTGCATGAGGCGGCCACGTGAACTACTGACGCGGTTCTTCTCCACGCGTTCATATGCCCGAAAAATCGATGATCATAGCGTTATCGAACGTGGCCGCCTCACGCGAGGCCACGTGAATTGGCCAAAGACTCCTTGCCCATGCATGCAAATTCAACTTACTTTACCTGCTGCATAACAGAGAAACGGTGCTTTTAAGATATAAGTGCAGCGTTGAGATCAGAAGCGATTATGCTATCGGTTAGTTACTAATAATTTGAAAAGGAGCTCGGTCCGGCGATAAATATGAGCTTATACAACGCAAGAAATCTCCTTTTGTAGTAACGTCAAGGAAAGGCTTTTTCGAAAGCCGGCGAGTTGGGGCTGCAGCATGTAGTCTCAGCTTTTGAATGGATACTTTCACTCCTGGGAAAAGTTCCCCTTCAGCGGATGAGATCGGCTTTTCATCTGTCTTTCATAATCGAATAGAACCGAAAAAAATCTCTCGTAGCTACCGTGAGTTTTTCTCTGCACTTGAGGCAAAAATCGTCTGAATTCAACTTTTTCATATGTATTTATGTGTTAGTACACTGAGCGATTATTGAGAGCTTTGTAATCGATCTGAAATTAACTTGCACAAGATGACACTCTGTGCAAATGTGAAATCAGAAATTGTACAATCAGCAAAATGGTGAATAATGAAGGATAGAACTTATGATGATCGATAGCACTTGAATAAAGCTGTATATTGCGAAGAAATAAAATATTGTACTGGTGAAAAAAACGTATCAATGACAATAAAAGTGTCCGCTAAGTATTATAGTATGAGTTGAGTCACTGCAAAACACTGAAACATGTTTATAGTGTTATGTAACGACGTACGTTGAGCACTAATACGCTTCAAAACGATCTCATGAAAGGCTCAAAATATGCTGTCAGGAAATGCTAAGTTAGTTCGATCTTCCTAATTTCACACGACGGTCTTCATTCGTCCCACATTCCTAACGCCTCCTCCTCTGCTCGTTTTATTGCATCTCGTTGACTGAAATATAGTCGAAATAGGCCTAATTCAAAATTTTTATGGATACACTCAATCATTCCTTCCGGACATGGACTTCATGGGTTCATGCACAATTGAACTTCCTTTTGATCTGATTGTTGATTCGTTTGAATCACCTGATATGTGAATGATAGAAAACCTCTTTCTTTCCGTAATGAATCAAGTAATAGAACGAAGGCTGAAGAGCCTAATGTGTTCCACTTTTTTCAGGTTCCAAATGAAATATGCACTGGAACAGACACGAAGAACAGAAGAACGCGTCGGACAAACGTGTCATCCATCAGGGAAAATCCAAATAATTGGGGTCTTCTACACAAGAGACCACATGGCCTCTATACAGAAAACAATGAATGCGATTTAAACCAAGGTATAAACTCATGAACTTTGAACAATCATTTATTTCAGATATTTCATGAGAGATCTAGTAAAAATTTCTGACCGTCTTGCCAGTTTTGCTTCTCTCGTGATGCGCTCAACCTCTTCACGCTCCTCTTCCGGCACGTAGCGATTTCGATCTGGGATTCGTGGATCTTGATCATCTTTCCACTCCTCTAAGAGATCAGGCAGGCGCTCTTCCAGCGAATGAACGTTCTCAATGTACGCATGCATGGCTTCTTCTTTAGTTAATCCTTGAATTTAACGATTTTAATTGGTTTTTAGTTTATGGGTCAAGTGAAATCATCATCAAATTTAGTAAAATGCGACTTCTAATATATAGATATCGTACAAAGTGATTTTACGACACTGAGATGGTCACCGATTTCCATGGAAATGGGCTTTTCACTATCTACGAGTAATTGTTGTTCTGCTTTAGAAAGTTGTATAGAATTGTAGACAATTTGTTATATGGTCTATGACCTTAGGGAATTATGCTGAGATGACGTTACTCAAAAGTGTGACGGATGTCAACTTTTAATCAGGTGATTACCGTAATGGTCGCGATTTCTGGATTCTAATAACTTTAAACTGCAATACAGGGGTAGACTCATGCTCTGTCGATTACGAAGAACAGCACCAATGCGTTGAAAAGGCGTAAATCTTCGGTCCCAGTGAATAACGAAAGAGTCAATTGTATAGATAGAATGAGAAAATACACAACTGTACTGGAAATCAAATGAGAACGTCAACGATTCAGAACAACTTTTTCTATGGTGAGGATGAGAGTAAAGAGTACTATCACCAGCCTTTGCACTTATTCCAAGCATGCCATTTTCTGTTGCCTTTAATCCATGACCACATCCATGACCTCTCAACCGGATCCATATAATCCATCTCTGAAACGGCACAAAAAACCCTTTCATTCTGAAGAACAATTGATGACAGTACGATGGGACTCTTTTTACTTCCACTTAACCGTTCTACATTTACGAGGAATGAGGAAAACAAAGGAAAACAAATCAAACAAATCAAAATTTATGGAAGCGTTACTTCAGTTGCAAGATAGTGTGGCGATTCCAGTAAGAGCTTTTCATCACAAAACACTCTACCATTTTTATTTGCTGGGAAGTCTAACATGAATATCCTATTTTTTTCATTTACTGCGATTTATAGCTTGATCACAGAAACTGCAGCTGCTCACTTGGAACATTGATATTTCCGACAACAGCCTGCTGATACAGTCCCCATATGGGGTACGTTTCCTCTTCAAAGCGAATCAGTAGCTCATATTCGTGTTTCAATACCTGAACAAGAAGGATAAGGTTGGTTTTGGGAGCGGTTAGTAAATGACTTGATTGTGAGTGACATTAGATCACAGGAGTGAAAATTTTTGCTATCAATCAAATATAAAGAACAGTACCTGTCTCTGATCAAAACGAGCCCTCAATTTCTTGAATTTTTCGACTGCCTTTATGAATTCCTTAAAAACCAACCTTGAGCCTCAATGATAATTATTGAAAGGCACATGTTTGATATGTATATATATATATACATATATATATATATATATATATATATATAATATATATATATATATATATATATATATATATATAATCTTATTTCAAGTGTAAATGATTGATTTGAATAAATTATGCCACTGAACAGAAGAATGAACTAACCGTATCGTGCAATTGCATTGCTCAGAGTATTCTATGTAGGGTGTATAGAACCATGGGAAATTAGCTTCAATTTCTTTTCTACAGAATTAGGTACTCTTAGGCATTCCTGACCTTGCCGTTTTGCATCGATCTCGGTGAATCTTATGAAAAGTATTTTCAAGAAGAAAATTCCCTCATTTGTGTACCGTCGTATTAGGCCATGTAAGTGTACGTAGTACGAATCCTTTGTACCATATGGCCGTTGAAAAGAAATGTAGGTCAAACTGCAGGAAAAACATAGACTTAGAATATCGTAGAGAAGGAAGTGAGTTGAATCTATGTGAAGGATCTGACGGAAAAGATCTGAAGCGTGGAGGGCAAAATAACTCCCAAGATAATCACTATTTACTTTTGATTACTGTGACGTTGTTTGGGTATGCTATATTCTCATTTCAAAACCTTATTCTTTCTTATCATCCAATTCTTACTGTTGACATTTATTCCAGACCATTATAACATTCCGGGTGCACTGAATGGAATATGGGTTTATTTCCATTTGATATCACAGAGTTTGAAGCCTACCCCGTAGGCTGGGCAAGGGGTTTTCTTGAAAAGTGTTAGTAATCATTTGAAATCTATGCTAACACTGTGCGTGGCCAGTTTTTCGAACAGACCTTTCTATAACGCTGTAATATCCAAATTGAAATCATGTTTCCCATCGGTTGCGCAATTCACCTATTGCTATAATGGAATTTGGAATTTTCTCCAAAGCGGAGAAACAATTCCTACTCATTCATTTATAAAAAAAATCAGTTCCTAAATCCGAAGAGATGCTGTGGATCTACTCTTAAGAGAATGAGTGGTGAGCGAAAACTCATAACACTGCGGAATGCAGTAAAAATACTATAAATTTCGAGTATAAATTATCACAGTGGCTGTCAGCTCAACTATGTTTATAAAGAGAAGTCGCATACTCGACCAACCTGTTAAGGGTTGGTGGCCGATAGCTAACATAGAGATGTTCAAGAATGAGTGGTGGAGAAATGTGCCTTGGTGGTGTAGCGATAGAACACGCGAATGGTATGAAGCGCGGGTTCGATTCCCGCCTGAGACCGTGTATTTGCTCACTACTCAATTATCCTAGGAATTTCTAATCAAATACACCTCACATAGGCGTCATCGATGGATATTCGTGTCGACACTCCCTGTCCACCCATCCCCTCCCAAAGCCGGTGACTTGACTAAGAACACAGGCTCGTCTATGTTATCTCTCGTGTTCGTGTATCTTATCTCGTATCTCGTACTGGTGAACCAATCATATTTTCCTCGCGCTGCGTTGCAGGAAAACGGTTTTTTGAAAATCTAAGCACAGCACTGAGACCAATAAGTCTTACACTATCGAATGATTGCTAATAGACTAACGAAAAAGCTCTGATCGACGAGAAATATGCACGTGAGAAACATAATTGTATTTCAAATTTTCAGCGTTATGAAAGGTCTTCTCAAAATAACGACTACATACAGCGCTAATTGAAAATTTAAGCTTTCGAATGATTACCAATACTCTATATGAGATCTTCTTGTCCAGCGTAAGGTATAGGCTTGAAAATATGTGTTATCAAACGTAAAAGTAGCGAAAATTATATTCAGTGACTAGTCACAACGGCACTGTTTCCTCGTCTATGACACAGTAATTGTGTTATCAATGGATCCCTTTTATTATCTGAGCCAACTTGTCATGTGACCTGGTAAGGGATCTTGTAAAGGCCGATACACGTGTTTCGTCTTTACAGACTCGTCAGTCGGGCAAAACTCGTCGTCTTTCGATCTTTTTATTAGTCAGTGCTCTCGGAAGCCCTATACAGAGGATAAAAAGATCGAAAGACGACGGGTTCTGCCCGACTGACGAGTCTGTGAGGACGAAACACGTGTATCGCGCTGTACAAGATCCCTTACCAGAGCACATGACATTTTGGCTCAAATAATAATAGAAGAATCTTTCAAAGTTTGAGCGTGGTCTCAATAAAACACTTGAAATAAAGGTATAATATGATTTTAATATCAGTCTTCATGATTCAATGAGGCAGGTGTGCACACCGAAATGAATAGTGAGAATTTTTGTACAGTAAACCCTATAGGCGTTGATCAATCCCTTAAGTAAGCGCCATGCACCCTTTCAATTTTCAACTTCGTTTGAGGTGAATGAATGCATATCTGGCTTTTACAATGACTCCAATGACAATGAAGGCAAGTTAGTACCTCAAGATCAGTGAATACATCTTATTCTCAAGCGGAAAATTTGTTTTTTCTAACATTTCATCAATAGGAGAAATCTCGGCTACAGTCAAGAACATAGCAACCTATCTAGGGTGATTTTGCAGTACTCACTGATGTCTAGTCTTGTATCTCTAAGATCAATCCTGTTCCACGAGTTCGGTGAAAATCTCTAACAGCGAACTCATTACAACGCGTGCTAAATTTCGCCCTTTCTGGAAGTCGACAAGTTCGTAAACAGATATTTTACATATTCATTCGTTGAAACAATTTTCTCTCATCAATAAAATACTTGAGATCTCATCAAATTTGGAAAAAAACTTACGGTGACCTTCCTCGACTCCATCTCCAGGCATGTGAAAACAGTGAGGCATGCTTGAATCAGAAGATAAATTTCTCTAAAGCAAAACTGACAACGACACATTCACGACGATTTGAAGTCGACGAGAAAATGATCAGTCAAACGTAAATTGCACTGATGACCGCATGGTTCTTTGTGTCCACAGTCCCTCAAAGTAACCGAGTAATGTCACCTCAAAAATTTCATGATCGCACAGGATGCCTTTTGGCACGAAAATCCTATTTACCGCAACCCATAAACACATTGCGTCGACCCCAGCACTACTTACATTGCGTGGCCGTGGCTCTCAGCAGTACATGCATTCGTTCATCTCGCATCTATCACTCAGAGCCTTGATACTTTGTGCGCTTTCACGCCGTCGAATGCTAGCTGGGTGAACTCTGCTCGAAATTCTGAAGCAGCCATTCTAGTAAATTTCGGAAATTTCATCAAGGGAAGTCAACTTGTGAAAGTTTGATACTAAGACATCGGCCCCAAAGGAGTAGAAGATTTGGTGATTACAGAGCGGGAGTTGAATCAGTGCTTTTCCATGTGGAAATATGGCTAGTCCCAAGTAATACAAATTCAAAATAACCGTAACTTTTTTACCTACTGTCAATATCATGACGAATTCATGAACTCCAGAAATTGACAGCGTTCAAAACTTTCTTTCTTGAAAATCATTGGAAAGATCGTTAATTGAGGAAACTTGTACAAAAGAACTATTTTTGAGCTGATTGATAATTTTTATGAATTAGCGACACTGCAGCTCTCTCCTACTCCGTGAAAAATCCAAGGGTCTCCGAATAAAGTTAGCATTTCTCCGGCAAAAATACCAAGTGATTGGGCTATTGTCCGTCACAGCTGTGTTCTTGCTTACAAGAAGTCTTGTTATACATGTACAAAACTAGATAAGCTCATTATAAAACTTTTTAATAAAAACACAAAGTGAGTTTTCAAGATTCGAATTGAGTATAAACAGATAGTGCATTACAACTAAACAATTAAGGAAATAAAGCATAAATAAACATCGCGTGATAGCGTAATTAATTCGATGTTTGGCAAGATGATTGAAGACAAAGAATCACAACCTTGTAAAAATGCAGAATTGAAACATGGTCCTGTGATAACAAAAAATCCACTATGATTGGTAGAATGTTGACAAAATCCATGCCTGGTAACAAACTGAAACCTGCGAAGAAGAGAAGGCACTATTTTGGAAAAAAAAGGTTTTCAACACAACGAGTTTGTTATGATTTAGTTCAAACACTATACTGTATACTATGCCGAAGATGGAATGCAATCAAAAGAAACTATCTGAAAACCACAGTTTGTAGGGCGTCCTCTTCGCGTACTTCTAAAAAAGCTTCAGCTCCATCATTAAATCGATAAGAAACACCGCCATCCACTACCTAAAATGTTTTGAAATTTAGAAATGTAAATTAAATCACTAATCCAGAAAAGGTCTATCACTCGAACCAAATGAGCGTCATATCCTCGGCTTTTCACGCGGATTTTTTCGGCGAACCCACGAGGCGCCGTTGGCGAAAATGTCGAATTGAATATTGGATCGCGCATTGTAAACGCCATTCCTAAAATAAAATAAATAAGAAAGATACGTAGACGACGACATCTTTCGTTCAGTGTAACTCTGAGCACTTTTGAAGATTGGTATTATTGCTTGCAACAACCATCCACTGAGGTTGACCAATCTTTTGGGTTGTTTTTGCTCCAACCTGCAGTACTATCGATTTCTGTACTAAATTTTGTCCGATCTGGTGATGGTGCAAATCGTCACTGCACATTGTACCAGCCTTAATGAATCGGAAGGGGTTTTGAAGGCATGTCAGACTCTTCTTTGATGACAACAATATCTGCACTGATGAAGAATCTGCTACTGATTGTGCGACTGCTCGATGGCGTGGAAAGCAAATTCCATTCAGCATGGAGAGTTTGAAATATCATAATTTAACACCTCCCATTGCGTAAAAAAACATTTCATTTTTGTCAAAGGTAGGGTGCTAGTAGATTTACCGTATTTTTTGAAAAAAAAAAAGAAACATACGTAATGAGTCAGGTTCGAAAATAAGCTGCTGGTTAAACTTTGTGCATATCTCAGTCACCACCTGTTTATTATCCGCTGGCAGCTTCACCTATAATTTGTAGTTGTTGGTAACAGGATTGAAGACTGTTAGTCACGTTAGCTCTAATCACTTACTCCACAATGATCTGATGTTATTCGCAACAAATCAGAAACGCATTTTTCAGTCAACTTGTTGATATTGAAATACCACGAAGTCGACCCAGTCCCTAGAACAAATTAAATTTCGTTCTAATTAAAGATGTCACACAATTTTAGATGCAGGAGTCGAAGTAGGAATTTGCCTTTGAAAGGCATCAGCCCGTGACAGTCGATAAGATACAGATAAACACAGGAAACAGAATCAAAATTTTCGACAGAAAAAAACCGGAAATTTGTGTAATACAAAAAGGTTTGAACACGAAATTCAGACATTTCAAGTGATTCTCCTAGGACTATAACCTCAAATAACATTCAAATACTAACCTGTGCATATTGTTATCCCACTGCTCTTTTGCTTGGTCATTTTTCCATTATCAATCTGTATTTCATAGTATGAAACACGAGACGAAAGACTTTCTCCAATGAAAACTTCGTTTAGTGCAAGCACAGGCAACTGCATCGTCACTCTTTTTGGCGGTGATCGTGTTCGTCTCCTGATGAGAGGGAATTTCATCAAGAGGAAAAGAAGTGAGATTCTGTATGTCACCTTACATAGTTTTCTTCGTTTTGTTCGATATTGCACCATCATCTAGAGAAGTCCCTGACGTTGATGGTTGATGAAAACTATCCAACCACCGCGTCGTGACTGGGTCTGTGTTCAGTTGCTGGTCATGTAGATAAATAGAATCTCCGACTCCAGAGCACGAGTCGCCAGAAAGGGTTATGCGTATACGTTGCCGATAGAGCCAGCTAAATAAGATACAAAATATGCTGCATGAATCAAATTTTTCGTAGCTAAAAAAACAACAATCTTGGATATTGGACAAAACACTTCTTCATTCACCAACGGTATCATCTCGAGCAGAAAGCGAGCGAACAAGTAGGATTTTACCTAGAAAGTTATCATGGAGTCAAGCAGACTCGAGTGTTTTGTCAACGTACGCAGTTACCACACTGAGTATCCGAGATAGCAATATTGAAGTCATTGAAATTATTTTGGAAAAAAATTACATACCTCTCGCGTGACAGTGTAAAATTTCTACACAGTTAGGATAAAAAGTTTGAGAGTTGTAGAAAAACACAAGGTTTAGTAGGTGACAAGTACATCTCATATTCTCTTAAACTAGATACTAACTCTAAAATTTTCAAAACAAGCTATATAAAACTCACTGGAAATCTCCATCAAGTAGACGACGCAAAGCTGATCGGAAATGTTCTTTAGGAAGTTTTCTCATCAAACACATATACCCTTCGGATC